AGTTACCCTTCAAAGTTGTTGGATTATTTATGTTCGTAAATAACAATTGAAGTGAAAATAAAATAATATTAATATTTCGGACATCTTATTCATAACGCCATCTAGTTTCAAACAAAGCAGAGCTTGTATTATTTAAGCTAGATTTATTGATTGTAACATTTGTACTTATATGTTATACATAGAAACACCCAAACTCTGAAACAAATACTTGCAGATTATAAAAACATTTGGTCCGACTCGAGAATCGAACCCGGAACCTCGGCACAGCAGTCGTATACGCTACCTCTGCACTCTACCACCGAGGCAATCTATATCTACCTTGCCATTCATTACACTGATACCTAGCCATCTTAACTGCAGGTGGTTGACAGACTGAAGTCTAATAAGCTGAAATAGTAAAACTATATAAACACACTAGCTGACCCGCGCCCTTTATCTGCCTCTCTCAAATTTCCCCGTTTTGCAACAATTTTTTTATCCTTGGCTAGCGTTACCGGCTTACCGTGTGTTATGTAGCCCATAGCCTTCCTCGATAAACGGGCTATCCAAGATTAAAAGCTTTTTTGGAACCAGTTCCTGAGATTAGCTTGTTCAAGTTAACAAATAATAATATATAAATAAATTGATTGATAGAATAGATAAAATTGTTTTAAATATTGCAGAACAGATTTTAGTAACAATCGTGTATTAATTATGTGTGAAGTTCCGGGTGGAAGCATAGTAACGCGTTAGCAGTTCATGCTGTTACAGAAATCTGTAACAACTTCGGATAGTCTATCAAATAAAATACTATTTGTTTGCGTTCGTTCCCCGTCCGCCGCAGTTTCAATCGCGTTTATGGTCACTGTTGCTAAAATACGCGAAATAGTACACTAATATTCATACTATACAATTTTTTATGACATACGGAGCCGAAACGTGGACACTTAGGGTACGACTGGTCCAGAAGTTCAAAGGCGCTCAACGTGCTATGGAAAGGGCTATGCTCGGCGTTTCTCTATAGTCTAAGTCGGGGAAAACGAGTTCTTGAGTGGAGACCGCGTCTCGGCAAACGTAGTGTAGGACGCCCACAGGCCAGGTGGAGTGACGATTTGCTCAAGATGGCTGACAGGAGCTGGATGCGAGAAGCCCAAAATCGATCTAAGTGGCGTGCAATGGGAGAGGCCCATGTCCAGCAGTGGACTGCGATAGGATGATGATAATGATGATGATACAATTTTTTTAATTTGAGATTAGACCTTTTAAACAAACAATAAATCATACAAAAATTCGCCCTAGCTTTATTTTACGACATAGTCATAATGTTGTCTTGTAAACTTTATAAACTGCAGCAACAACGATACAAATAGTTGGTGTAAAGTACTGAAACTGTGACCTCTTGACACAAAGCAAAAAAACAGTCGGTCAAGGATCAAATCAGTGTGTGTTACTGAATAAGAAATCTAATTTAAGAGTAATAATCTCTATTTATAAATGGTTAAGTAAAGTGATGTTGATATTCTTGGAAAAACTTAAACATGTGAAATATTTAAGTCTTTCCAAAGAGTGTCATTTGTCATGGGTACGGTATTTGATTTTATTTGCTTCACGCTATGTACGATTTCTTTGTACATTCCAAAGAAAAGGGAGCACTGACCTAAAAATGTATGATGCCAATTTTTGTTGGTGTTTCATAAATAAAAACGACCCACAAGTTTTAGATCTTGCTAGTCATATATGTGTGTAATGTAGTGTCATTAGTTCAACAAAGTATGAAAATATATTCAGGTTGAATTAGAGAGGTAATGAAAACTGACCAGTAATTTTCAGTATTTAATGTGTTATTTGGTGTATATAGAATCATATCTCACAAATATTTGTCTTCTAATTGTCGTCTATCAATGTATTTTTAATCAGGTACTTCAGTTAGTAAAAAAATATCATTTTTGACATAATTCATTTGTATTTCATTATTATAGTGTGTATTTATACATGCGACACTGACTACGAGAGAGTACTCGCATACATCTACTTGTTTCAAATTCAAATTTAAGATCTAATTCCTAGTCGTATAAGTATTAAATAAGTACTTAGTAAACGCTCAAAAATTTAAACTTTCGAACTTCCGATGCAAAGTAGGCTTTCCTGATGTAACAGTTAGTTACTAAAATGTATGTTTTGTTTGTTTTTTTTTATTTTTTAGAGGGGACAGACGAGCAGACGGGTCACCTGATGGAAAGTGACCATCGCATCCCATGAACGTCTGCAACTCAGGAGTCACAAACGCGTTGCCGACTTTTCAGGAAGGAGTACGCTATTTTCTTGAAGGTTTCAAGGTCGTATCGGTCCGGAAATACCGCAGACGATAACCCGTTGTATTTAAAAAAATAATTAATTAATTAATTACCCGTAAATTTTCAGTACATTTTCACATTACTGAGATTTTTATATTCCTTGAATAATGGTGATGGATATTTCAATAGCTATATGAATAATATACCCTATTTATATGAATAATAACCCTTGTAAGTATGTAACTACTCTAATAAAAGTTTAAGTGTAGGATCAAGTAAGGGCGTAATGAATTTTGGTGATTGATTAATTCCTACGCAGTTGGAATTTATTCGTAATGACAAATATTCAGTTGATCCACATAGAAAATAGAAATAAAGCTTTATTTTTAAAATGGTGCGTACTTTCCGCGTTTGTCTATTTATCCGCTAATTATTCATGAACCACACAATGAATGCCGAGTTGGTACCAGTTAGATAATTCTTCATTGAAGGTCTATATAAAATAAAAACTAATTAAGTTGTTATGTAAGTAGATCAATTAATATTTGACAATGAAGTCGCCGAATAATTAATTAATATGAATTACGTCGACTAAACCTTAAAAGATCTTTAAAAATTGTGTATTGGAGAACTGTAGTTCTTCTAACTTACTCCCGTTTGAAGCTGGGCCGGAAAGCTTTTTTTAACACAAAAAAACTAAAAACATCATGATTCTCAAAAATGGTTAATGAATTTTTACTTAAAAGGAGGAATTTAAAAGAAGGAAAACTTGAAACAAACCCTTTTTTTTTTTTTTACCTTTGGAAATCCCCTCGGACCGTCACCCCACCGGGGTTTGCGGCGGGGTGGTGTGTCGGACTCGGACCGACTAAAACCACACGGTGTGCCACTCTGCGCCTGTAATAGGAGGGATCAGCTGTTATCAAGACATCCGGACCCCTCCTAGCGCCGGCCCGCTCCTGTTGCGGGCTCCGTCTCAAAATTTTTTCCTCTCTTTAGGCGACGTCCGGCACACGTGGACGCTGCCCCCTCGCGGCTGGCCAAACTAATGCGGGTGTAGGGGAAACCCACCGCGTCCACCCGCGGCCACACTCAGGGCGGCATGAGGCGGTGATAAGTGCGCCTCCGCCGCCCGGTTCGCCGGCGGCGGATCGGGTCCGAGTGGAGGTCGTCCTCCCGGGCCTTCTCCGCCGCCTCCTTCTGCGAGATTACTTCCTAGGACAACAGCACTGCAAAGAGAAGGAAAGCTTGACACAAACCCTATACCAACCCGTCTGGCCAGCGTGGTACAGTAGGCTAAAACCTCCCTTCTAAGGAGGGCCTATGTCCTATGTGGACTATTATAGGCTGTTGATGATGATAAATTTTTACTTTTCCCTAGACTTAAACAGAAACCATAATCTTTATATATATAAGAGATTTCCACGTACATAGTCACTCATCACGATATTTCTGGAACCATTAGAGCTAAAGACTTGAAATTTGGTAGGAATATTCTTTTCACCGAGTATCAGCTAAGAACGGATTTTAAGAAATACAAAAAAAAAAATTTAAATAATGTAAATAGCAAAACAACGTTTGCAGGGTCAGCTAGTAGATAATAATGAATTGTACATTGTAATTAAGAATCTACATAAGTATGTATATTTATCTTTTAAGAAGCAAAATGTTACTGCACAGGAACCCAAAAAATATTGAGCTTAAATTTTTGTATCTAAACTAGATCAAGTTCATTGTGCGCTAAAACATTGTTTTCTTGAAATCGAGTTAGCCGAAAAAATACGCATTGTTTCGTTGAATTAATCGCATGAGTAATAATTTTACCATACGCCTACACGATCATGAATGTACAACACATACTTATACCATAAGCAATAATCAATTCGTGATTAAGGGTTGAGGTCGTCGAAAGCTAATGCAATGATTTGTTTTGTTCTTACAGTGTGAGGGGCGCGGGTCACGTACGGCAGCATTTATTGTCACAAAACAGTTTCCGTTCACAACTTCAGTTTTTTTAGATTTAGCATTGAGCTTCGCCGTTTTTTATGTGTAGGCTGATAAATTTACTAGGAATTGAATTCGAACCGTTCAGTCGCTGTGAGAAGCCATGCGGTTATTATTGTGGTCTGGTGTCATTGCATTAAATAGTCTCTGATAATCATCCCATTAAATCTTTCGGACAGTCATCTTTGGTTCAGGTACGTAATGTATGTTGAAGAATGGAAAAGGTAATACTATACCTGTGCTACCTAAATAATACTACGAGTGTCATTTTAAAAAAATGGGTAGGGGCACACAAAAATAATTTAAAACATTCAAAATCATCATCCACGTCTTAAATGCGGAATATAATTACGAGTATATACTGTTAAAATCCTCCATGCTTCAAAGAAATACTGAAGAGTTCTTAGTTAGTAGGTCATTATTGGAATCGAAATTAGTGCTAGCTTAGTGTTTTGAGAAGGTCAGTAGCGTGGTTTGTCCACGAAATGTTCGGTCGAGCAATGCCTGAGGTCACCTCTAACAACTCGTTACTCATTATGGCTCACGAACCCTTAACAACCTACAGTCTTACAAAGCTGGCCCTATTAGTTTACCTTCATTAAATATCAAATAGATGTCGAGATGTTTAATACGAAAAATAAAAAATAAACATTCTGCGATACCACACTTTGTACAGATGTCTGCTTTAAATCATAGAGCTAAGTTAAGACAAAGTGCTACAAATTAGTCAGAATCGGCGTTGAGTGGGCTTAAAATAGTACTTCTATAATTATTTAGTGTTATTGTTTTGGGTTGCATGTGATGCCAAAACGTAGCGACAACAGACAGGTGGGAGCGGGCAGCGGGTAAGCAACGAGGTTTATGTAACGCGAGGGCGCGAACGTGGCGCGGCGGCAGTGCTCCGCCGACCGCCGCGCACCGCCGGGCATAGCGCGCCATGGACCGCGCGAGCGGCAGCCCGCCGGCCAGCCCGCCTGCTGCGCATACTGGCGGCTTCAGCGCCTTCTGCAGCGCGATCTCCGATACGCTTTCGGTACGTACCCGCCGCACCAGTTACTCACTACGCGCCCGACACTCACACCTACACACTGCCGCAATTATAGGTACTTTACGACACTACTACCGTCTAAATTGTATTTTGGCGCTAAAATGCTAAAATCCGTTCTTGATAAAGAATGAGAATCTATGATAAGTGTCGCGTTGAGATCTATTTTGAAGCGCACGTGGTCTTCGAGGTCGACAATGATGCCTTTGCGTCCGATGCTAGTCATCGACGAGAAATCAGAATAAAAGTTTGGAGGGAATAAAAAATATAAACAAGTTTATTATTAGAGCGCTCGTTGAGGCCGGGTCGCACGGTCGCGATTTGTCCGATGGCTGTGATATACCGAAATACCCGCGCATTAAACGTCTGCTCGACTGTTGCGACGTACAAAGGCCAGCTGCGACACCGCACTCGTGCTACCTCAGCAACCTTGCCGTCATCACCGGCTCCGCTTGTGTCCCACAGTGCACTCGCTCCTCACCAGTCACGGCTGCTGCTCCATCGCGCTACCACTTCGCTCCCATTGACCAAGTCTATCGTGACACCCACCCTTAGGTACAACTCAAGTTTTAACTAACATGCCTTAAATTCTAACAGAATGTCGTTTCTCTATTCAATTCATCACAGATAACAAATGGATTTATCAAAGTGTTGTGTCTGCAGAAAAAATTGTGTTGTGATAGTGATACATTGAGCATTCCCAGGGTGAAACCGAATATTTAAAAAAATACAACGTGAATATTTTGTTTGATAATACGCTACTTCTAATAGGTGTACTTTTTGTTTATCAATTTGAATGCGGCAAGCCGGAAAATTACCCGTTGATTGTAGTAGTTTTGTAAACTGCACATGATTTATTGTTCAAACCAATTTTGAAATGAAATTAAACTTCGTGTCACTACTCAATTTTTAATACGACAAATAAATAAACTTGTTTTAAAAAAAAATGAGTTGAGCAACATTAATTTCTGAAAAGTACAACTGAGTTATGTACACACAATAATATGGCTGATTGTAGAAAAAAACAATCGTCTAAACTAAATGAACGTCACTAATTATCAGAATAATAACCTTAATCTAATCATCTTAAAGGGTTTTCTACTCAATAATTCTGCACTTCAATATGGTAAACGCAAAACTTTTGTGTATCCGTAGCAAGAGAAGGTATCAAACTATCAATGTATTTTAGTGTAGTGCAAGGTTGTGTCAATTGGTTTAACCGCATCGATCGCTGACACGACCCTGGTTATACGCTTTCTTCGATGAGCATTAAATGCAGACAAAAGTCCACATTGTCGTTGTCCATTATTGTTCTATCTTACATTGTTTTGCATAGACTTCAACAACAGACCCTAATATATTTGTTGATTTTAAGCTACTTTTCAGTAACCGTTTGTAAACTCAGGTCTTAAAGAACAGTAAGACTGTTTTCATTTTAAATGGCTTTATATTTACGTATATTATTTGTGTGATAATTGTGTATATGTGTGTACTTTTCATTTTCTTCGACTTTCTTTGCTTGTGTTGATGATAGTGGATGCAACATTTAATTATACTAATAAGACATTTTTAAGTCTCCTTGCAAGTCGATTGTTTTTAAATGTTCAGTTAGTAACAGTGCATATTTGTTACTATTCAGAATATTTAAAAACATCAAACATGTTAGTCAGAAAAAAAACATAAGTATCTTAAAATTAAGAGTGAATTAAGTTTTAAAATGTAATTATTTTACATAATATGAGTACGTTCATCAGTAATCGGTTTTATATACACATAATAACGCCAGCTGTTTTGATTTAAAATTATCGTATCATTTGTATAATGTAACTATTTTTTATTGTGTGTCGGTAAATACGTAGTAGACCTTTTAAAAATTGCGTAGGTTTTGTAGCGTTGAACCGAATCCAAATTGGTCGCAAAAAGAACAGACGAATGTTTGTAAAAGTGAAAAATAACATGTATTAGTAAGTCGTTACCACTTGTGCAGTGTCGAGGGATAGCATTTGGACAGTGTTTAGTAGCAAACGTTACAGTTCGGAAATTATAAATAGAAAAAAGAGAATACAATCGAGGAACTCGGCCACTGCTCTTGCTATTTCTGGTCGTTACTTCTCTTGAAATCAAGAACACGGCCAAATTAACGGGAACTGGTCAATCAGCTCATACAGCAACATGAATCTTCACATTCATTGGGACCACATGGTTCAAAATATTCGGAATGGATTAAGGCGTTTCGCGAATTACGTAAGTCTCTATCTCTCTCTTCGGTTTTGACACCAAAGTTTGAAAGTTACCATATCGTCAATGCTTTACTATTCTCACATATTTTTATCTTCAAAAATATATTTTCCTACTATGTATACTATTGTATACAAATATATAAATAGTTATAAAGTTTTCAAAGTTAAAAGTTTTACTTGAAATTCTGAAAGCTTACGCGATAAGTTACCTGAGCGAGTATTAAAGGAGAAAGATCTCTAGAATAACAATGATATTTATAGTTTTATTGTTGCGAACAACAATTACGTTATATTAAATAACCTTGACCTACATATAATTAGAAGGTCATTGACACTATATGTAGAATGCAGAGAACATTTTGTTATTTGTTGTATAAGAAGTAGGTATTTTTAAATAAAGTACCTCAATAATTCATAGCAATAATTCATTACGAGATGCTGATGCATGATCTGTCGATGCACTAATAAGGGATTTCTTATTGGTTACTAAGTAAATAGCCAACTAAACTCTTTATAATGATAATGTAAAATGTTTAGCTTTTTGCTGCCGATTCAACAGTTTTACAATACACGTGTATTACACACACAAGGATGAGATAAGACTACCTTGCCTTGTGCGTAAAAACGGTCTAGAACGACCTTCACATCAGCATATTGGATCTGAAAGCCTTTACATTGTTTAATTTTATGAATATCGTTATAGACTTTCACGAACATTGTATCAAATAATTAATATTAGTTGCTATCAGGCTGTGATAAAACCATCCATCACGAAAGAAAACCTTTATAATCTTGAATGTACATTTCTTAGAACATGACAAGATATTTATTACCCCTTTATGTTTTAAATTTTAAAATTTGTCAGCTTATTGTTCTGATCCAGTATTATCAACCTTTAGATATCATTCTCCCTTAAGTTCTACGTATTAAGATATTTAAAAATGTTTGTTTCAAAAATAATACATGTAATGAGCAAAATTTATAAAGTACTTACAAAGTTTGGTGGTAAAATATTTTTGTCAAATGCCAAACCAATAATTAAAGAAAAACTTCAGCCAGTAGTATTTTATTATAGTATTATTTGGCAAATAAAAAACTAAGGTTACTTTAACTAACTGTTTTTTTTCTATATATAAATAGCATTTGTTTAAATGCTTGCCATGGCTTTGGTCGTATTTTTGTTTGCAAACCTCAGTAGTTGTGCAGGTAAGCATCAGTTAATGAAGGAAACAAAGAAGCATAGGGCTCACCCTTCAAATTGTAAAACAAGCGTATGGACATTTCTTATTTCAAGTAAATTGCACACAGGCACACTTTGACAACTTCTGAACGTCATACACTTGGATAATCATACACTGTAGTTACAATTTAGGTATTGGCATTAGGAAGTTCGTCTCAAAACACACCACTAGGTCATTTTAAAATTTTGTAGCACTAAATAAAACGCTCAAAAGCACTAAGATGGCTGGTCATGGCCATCATTCACAAAAGTTTAGTTAAAGTTTAAAAATTTAGTTTAAAGACAGCGGCCAATTTAAGAAGAAATGAGGGTACACACCTACGGATACTTAGATAGAATGATATCTTCCATGAAAAAATTAACGAATTACTTTATTATAGTAACCATTGAATTATTCATTGATCAGAACTTTGTGGAAATTTAATAATACGAAACGTTATTTGATAGGACTAAACTATTAGTGCTAAAAGTGTAGTAAGTGGAAGTAAAATACCTTTTACTCCCTGATAGTACCCGAAAGTGATACATCCTTCGATTTTAGGTTAATAGGAAGTGCGACATATTTAAATTTAATTGTTAGATTAAACTTGTATAGTTTGTACGTAACCCTATGTTCGCGATTTGGAGTCACCTTGTCCGGATTTTATTTCTATTAGTTTGTACAGCTCTTGTAAATTGTGGGGTCCTATGAAAACTATAACTAATTGTTTAAATTATCTTATTATTTAAGGGACGAACTAGGATGTAGCGACGTTCTGTAAGGTATTTAATATCGTTAGTACTACCATTGTATTACTAATGAAATACTAACGAATGGTATTATGAAAGTGTAGAGTGAAAATTATACGCTACAAGAACAAAAGAAGTACACATGCGGGTCTGTGATTTTTTTTACAGTATAGGGGGCGAACGGCTTCACTTTCTTCATGGTAAGTGACTACCGCCGGCCATTGACCCCTGTAATGGAAGAGGCAGAAGTGCGTCGCCGCCTTTTACTGCTCACCCCTAGAATTAGAGGGCGATGGTTGGGCCTTCACTCCACACTCACTCGTTGAAAAGCAACGAAAATATTGTTTAACTCCGGTTTTCTGTGAGGTCTGTGAGGAGGCTAATGTTAGTTTTTCTGATAATTATGACATATTGAGGACAGGCTGTTCGAAGAGGACAGTTCTTATCATTGAGTCTAAAAGTACCTACTATTTCTAGAAAAGATTTATAGACAAATTATACAGGTACGTTAGAAGCTATTTGTTATATTATGATAGGAAATAATGAAATTCTTGTAAATTTTGTTGCTTAATTAGCATATAAAGTCAATATATGAAGAAGCCAAATATGGTGTTAAGTAGGCATCGCTGTTGAACTTGAAAGCTATATTACTGGTTATGCATTGTTATTTTGCGCAAAAATGACTCTGGACATGATCACATTGGGTACTACGTATAATAATAATTTATTGCAGACATTGATCCATATATGTGTTATTAACAATTATCTTACAACTATGTTAGTTCTACATTTCAAACAAAAACAAATCACCAAATAAACTGTGGGGATGCGCTAGCATGCAGCCGCATCCACCTTTATAGGACTGGTATGTCCCAGCTCTCGGACAATACTCTTAGCATGCTGCCTTGCAGTCAGACATTGACGCGCTCCGCTTTCTTATGATAAAAGTCATCGCAATGTGCCTCCGCGAACACTATAATGTTTGTTTAAGTCTTACTTAGTATAGGACTGCTGGCCGCGAGTTGGACGTCTCGTCTCGTTGAATGTTTTTACGTAAGTTCAGTTGTTGAACCTGAGAGGGCAGTTTTCGAATTCACCTACCTTAAGACCTATTTCTTAGCGTTCCATAGATGATTCCATGGTGCCAGGTTCATCGCGTGATAGATGGGGGCAACCCAGGAATAGGTTTTAATAGGTCTGCTGAGTTACCCCCTCTACCTAACCATATTTCAAACGAGCCTAGCAATGCCGCTTTGGATATTCAAGAAAAGAGCTTACTGCAGCTCTTGGCAATCCAAGGTCTCTAAGCAGGGTATAGAGGGATTTAGCTGGTATAAACCTAGCAC